TAAACTATGATTAATCTGGGATTTATAGACCGAGAATCTTGCCCAGTTATTCTTTCCCACGTCATGTGTCTCAAATCCGGCATTACTATCCTTTTTGGGAGAGAAGAAATTGCTATAAAATGACATTGCTATAAAAATGGCTTCTAAATGTCAGTTACGCATGGTAGCTTCTGTTCACCAAAGTGGATCCAAGGTTCTCCTTGTTTTTGCTTTCTGGCACCAGCCATCAGACCAAACATTTGCCATGTGGAAGAAGGGATATTAAAGAAACATGAAGTATACATTAAAGCAGGATTCGGTGTCAGTGAATAACAGCATGAGAAGTGACAGAAAGATGTGGCAAGACAGCAAACATTTCCCTTTAAAGATTATATTCCAGGATGCTCCAGGAGCAATATTTCGTCAGTGCATTTACTTTATCCATCTATTGTTCCAAGTCAGGTCTAAAATCATGCCAGAGCATCTCATGCTAGCTCAAGCCTAAATCTATAGCTGTTCTGTGCACAGAACTCCAATTAACTTCAAGAGGATCTTGCTGCAGTATGTTTCCTGGTCAGTATCCTTTCTGGTCTTACCAAAGACCAAATATAAAACAAAGACCTACAACAAAAATCAGATCATTAATAACTCTGGAAGTTTAAAAGATGGGAGAGGGAGGATTCATTTCTTTACCAGGAATATTTTTCGCCCTCTTGATTTCATGCTTCTGCATTTCTGTTCTCCCCTGTTTGGTGGTAAATTGATGATGCCGCATTGGTGAGGGATGCAAAGAAAAAGGTGGGCCTGGAAAGCAGGAGAGTTTGGTGGTCTGACTGCTGAACACTAAACCCTCACACTTCTGTTTCCAGCTCGTGATCTTTTTCACAGCTCCAGCAGCTCTGCTTATTGTTACTCCTAAGAGAGCAGTCAAGGTCCAGTGAAAAGGTAAGTTGCCAACCTCCCTTTCCACTGTGAAGGGCATCCTGTTACTGAAAATAAAACCTTCCCTCCCTCAGCCCCTGCTCATCTGGCTCAATTCAGATTCATATTATTTTTGTTTTCCTTTGCCCGCTACCATTAATTGAAATACTGGTTACAAAGCTGGAACAAAATTCTGGTGCTTGAGGCCGGACTGCAGCACTAACGGAGGAAGGGGAGAATCATATGCATAACATTGCTTTGTGCTACTTAAGCCATTGATCGGCATGATTTGCATAGGTGCTGAGAAACAGGGTAATGCTTCAGCAGGATTTTACAACATTTCTTCCCATCTGCAGCGATTTGCAATAGAGCAGAATGGGCTGTAAATCAGAGAAGTGGCAGGAATTCAGATGAATATTGCAAAGTTTCCAGATGCTCCACTAAAATATTTTGTTCCCCCAGGAGAGGAAGGTGGGAGAAAGGAAGAAGTTTATCCTCAGAATAGATTAGCTCTGCTGTGGAACTGCTACTCCTGAAGTTTCAGGATGCCTGTTCTGCGTGCTTGGATAAGCGTCCGTTACATCTCAGTGCATTATTTGATCCATTTGGATAGAGGATACGTAGGAAAAGCCCTTGTGTTCTGTGTGGCTGTGAGCACTGCTGGCCCCAACTGTTTAAAAATCTGGAATCAAGCCCCCAGAATCTTGAGTTTTTTAAACCTTTTGGTTTCTGCACCGTTAGGTTGTCCTTGGATCAGGTCTTCCAGCTTTTCTCTGCAATCAAAAGGGCTAGAAACTTACTTTTTTTAAAGGAAAGCCGAGATGCTCACCGAATTACACAATTCCAGGAGCTGGGGCTTTTAACAAAGCAACAAATATTGTGAGAGCTGGCAACACTGAACATGCATGTTTATACACACAAGCAGAAATCTGCGCCTGAACACACACATGCCTTTTGGTGCAATAGACCTGCATTCAGAAGGTAAAAATGGGCTCCTCAGAAGCAACTCTGAAAACCAGGTGTAAGCATTGTCCTTGCCAGGGCTGGTTTAGTAGTAACTGATGCAGAGTGGGAGGAAGAGCTCCTATCAGAGACAGGGAAATCCTCCCTTTCCTCCCCTCCAGCTGAAACCCTCTCAAAGCTTAGGGGTAGTTACTGAACGTAGACATACACCATCAGTTTGCTGCATTATGTTCTGAGTTGAAGTATTTTCTTAACATGAGGAAGTTTGCATCCCTGGTCAGCGAATTGGTTGTGTTCAGTGGAAACAAAGCACCTGCCTTGCACTGATTTTGTACCTTTGTTCTACAAGGTTCATCTGGTCTCCTTGAAATAAGACCAGCTGTTCTAGTAGAAGCTGAAGATAAAAAAAAACAGGCATCATTACTTTGAGTAAGAGCACACCATTAAAATCAGTCTCTGGAAACACTGCAGCATGCCAGGTAATGTACTATTATTGCATCAAGGTTGCAGTGGAAAGTAGTTTCAGGGAAACTGAGGTCTTGAAACCACACTGCCCTCTAGTGGCAGCAAAGTCTCATTATATAAATGAATAAGTAAAGCTCTTCAGTGATGCGGCTTCATATTGCTACTGTTGGAAAGATAAGAAGGCTAATCTTCGCTACAGAATCACTCCAGATTTACACCAGCATAACAAAGATCAGAATCTGGCCCTGGGAATCCACAGGGGGGAGGGATAGCTCAGTGGTTTGAGATTGGCCTGCTAAACCCAGGGTTGAGTTCAATCCTTGAGGGGACCATTTAGGGATCTGGGGCAAAAATCTGTCTAGGGATTGGTCCTGCTTTGAGCAGGGGGTTGGACTAGATGACCTTCTGAGGTCCCTTCCAACCCTGATATTCTATGATTCCTCTTTACACAAGGCTCACACACTTCCAGGAATGCGGATACATTTCTGGGCTGCTAAAATGAGTTTTTTAGGAGACCCCATAAATGCAGTGTTTAGCATCTTTGCTACAAGTTCTCACCCTTCAATGAATCCCCTGTGTTAAAAGTAAATTCCACCTAACAGAGTTAGGAGAGGTCACTTTACACAAGGCTGTTTAATTTCATATTCCTCCAGGAATTCCTCCGGTTAGATATTCCCATCGCCTCTAAAAACCCTTGGAAAAGTATCCAGTGGCTGTTTGCTGGCCTTGGCAAGAAGAATTCATGGTCTCGATCGCCTCAGACAAAAGCCTGTGTCACATCAGCCACCTTGGCTAGCAGTGTCTGGAGTCAAGCTAAAGACTGAATGGAAACTAAACCTCTTATTCACTCTTAGAAGTGGTTCGCCCCAGACCAGGGCCAAGACACAGTGGTGGAATGGTGCTATGGGGGGCAGCTTGCATTGTCAGTGACTGTGCTTTCTCTGGTGTGGATAGAAGAGTTCAGCCTCTAAGGCAGTGTCTCTATCCCCACTCTGCCCCCAAGAGTAGCCCCTGAATGCAGGCTGCTCCCTGGCTGATCTAGCAAGGAGGGCCCTCTCCAGCAACATGGTGACTCCACAGATTTAAGGCCACTCTAAGGCCGAGGTAGCAGAGTTATCACTAGCCCTAGGTAAGGGGCAGTGCATCGGTGCTCTGCTCCAGGAGCAGACACAATGAATGGTGACTCCATCACCATTTGGTTCTGCCTTGCTCCAGGGAGGAATTAAGCTGCACCAGCTTTGTACCTGGCACAGTTTACTCCATGCAGGCTCAGCTGCACTGGCCTGTTTGTTTGGGGGAGGGTGATGTCAAAGCCAAGGCCCCTCCCCTTCCCTGCCTGTCTGCCCAGCAGGGCAAGTAGCAACCCTGTGGTGGCTGCTTTCCCCATCACACACAGAGCGGCAATGTTGGGAGGAGGGAAGTAAAGGGGCGCCTCACACTTCCATCACTCCCTGCCTGAGCAGGGAAAGCAGCTCAGGACTAGCCCAGATAATGTTTTAAACCACTCAAGTCTTTCCCACCAGCATCTTTTCCTCCTGCCCAAGCTCCATCCTGCACAGTGGCCAAGTATCATTTCACCAGTCGTCCAGCCCCTAATGATCTATTGAGCCTTGCCTTCAAGTACCTGGACATGGGCCTTACAAACAGGCAGATGCATGCGTTTGAACTGCGTTGCAGAACCTGCACTGAACCTAAATCAATGTTTAACTGGGGATAATTTGCAAAACTATGCTTCATGATATCCTGAATGTGAGGTGCTTTCTACACATCACACAAAAAAGGGGAATCTACCTCACTACATAGCCTGAGAGCAGAACAGAAGGGTTATAAATACACACGGAACACACAAGATAAATTAGAGCAATGACATTTCAACCCCAAGGTCTTTGCCAGGAAGGATTTGTAAGGGAAATGAATAGACTGGAGAATTCACACTGCTCCTTTCTCCTTGGATATTTGCCATTTTTAAATAAGGCTTTCCCCCGCCCAAACACTCAAAAAGAACCGGCCATTAGCAACAACCAATGTGAGCGGCTTGAAAATAAACTTCCTTTGCATCTGGATCAGACAGACCCACTCGCTAGCTGGTCTTGAACTACCTGATCAGATCCGTGTTCAGGATGTCCCCACATCTAAAGCATGGCAGTAACAGCGTAAAAACAACTGTTGCAGGAAGTTTACGGGACTCAGGCCATAGCAGGTAAATAGTTTTTCATCTCACCTTCACTATTTTTTGTGTTTAACTATTGTTTATATGGTGCTTTGAAGATCCGCCACAGGTGTAAATTGTCATAGGTCATTAACTGAAGTCAAAGGATGTTTGTCAGTGTACACTAACTGAGGATGTCAGCGGGGCAACGCCTATTTATGCTAACTGAGGATGTGGCCCATATCTTGTTATATTAATACCCTGCGCTACATAGTTTGAAAGAACATCCAACTGAACTTGAAGGCTGCTACAGCCAATGCATGGAGTTCTGTTTGTCCATCTTAGCAACGTGTTTATTTGTAATTAGCTGGCTACTTTCAGTTGCTTCCATCACCAAGTATAATTTTCCTCACAAGTAGCAATGAGTCATTGCTGGCAACTTGCTCCCATCTGCAGGAGCCGGGAGCAGGTCAGATATTTCAAGAAGCTCTTTTCACATGTTACCATGGAAATAAATGCACATTATCTTTTAATGCTTGAAAAACAAAAATTCAGTACAAAGCATATTTAATTAATAACAAAAAATTAACCCAAACAGGGAAAAGTTTTTAAAAGCAACAGTGATCCCGGATTGGAAACCTGAGAGGAAAAGCAAAGGAAACCCCATCTATCCAGCTTTGCCTAAAGAGGACTTTTGTCCTGAACATTTTCAGGGATGGATGGGAGCAGCTCCCTTAAAATTAACAGACTTTCTTTCTTAGCAGCCAGTGGTTCCTTCTGAAGAGCTCAGGGCATGAATTCATCCTCTGCTGGGGCAGCGCTGTTGACAGCAAGACATGGATCACTGTGTGTTGTCTGCGCAACAGAAGTAGTGCAACCAGCTGCTCCATGCTGTTCTTTAGCATCTCCACCAATTTCCCCTAATGAAAAACATAATACAATCGAATCAGAGGAGGTTTCCATGCCTGCAAACTCTCCAGACTGTATTGTGCAAACCTAACTCAGTCTGTCCAACAACAGCTGGGAGAACATTGGCATCTAACTCCCATCTTCACATGGTCTCTCTGTGGCTGTGCTCTAGCGCCTATGTACCCAAATGATACAGGAGCTGAGAAATTACAGAACTGCAAAAGTGTTGGGTCCCTATTGATTCAAACAATGGGCTCCATCCTTCAAAGACCAGCTGGATGGAGTGAGGAGCTCTCCACCTTGCTGTTCTTTCTTTATGGTGCAATTTGAAACTCAGATAGCCACTTCCTCACTTGTGTTCAAAACTATTCCAACCGCCCCTTCTTCCAACTGGCCAGGGGCTTGGCAGAAACTGATGCCTCCACAGCTAGCATCAGTGCCGATGCTTCGCCAGCCATCCAGGATATCCCGTTGAATGGAGAGGTCTGGTGCACTCCATTCTGCTGTGGGCAGGCAGAGCCTGCCATGAGGTCCCATGTTCTCTATGGCAGTCTGGACTGACATTCTATAGCAAGATCCCACCGCATGTTTGTGGCTTCCTAGTGCAGGAGGCTGGAAATCCGACAGCAGCTCCAAGTAAGTGTAAAAGTTGAGGGTTTTGCTGAGTTTAATAGGTCACTAAATAATTGCAGTCGTCCAGGTTCCCATTTTATGTTTATATTCATTTTAACCCAAGCCTCTGCCTACATTCTCAGTTGTTGGCACGCCACAGATTTCTGCATCGACAGTATGTAACTCCTCTGTACAAGCTGCAGGGGGAAATCTGGAAGCTTTGGGATTGAAATAGGGCACAGATGTGGCTTTAGCAGCCAGGAAGTTGAGAGAGGCAATTTGGAATAAGCGCGTTAGCTACATATTTGTACTAAAATGATCAGCAGTGAAATAATAAACTTCTTGATTAAACTTTCGTCATTAGGTTTCAGAGTTGAGGCCCTGCTGAGGTGAACATGGCAGTTCATACTCAGTTATTGTTTCAGGTTGTCTGCTGACTCAGGAAGACCACAATGTATCAGTTTATATTAAGATTGTCTTCACAACCATAAGGACTAGAGACTTATTTTTTCCTTTAAAGGAGAGATTAGATTCTGAAGCACAAATCCACAGCAGAGGTAGATTCCATGGCAAATTCTATGGCCACCCAATGGTGAAGTGCCGGAGTCCTGATTTAAAAAGCTCAGACAACAGTAAAAATGGTTCTTAACACCTTCCTTTTACAATAAACCACCCACAGAATGATTTTCTTCAGCTACTTGAACTAGGCATTGTTTGCTCACCAATATCATTACTAGCCTCAATTTTCTTTCTCCTGAAACTTGGAATTACATGGGTCAGACCAGTGGTCCACCTAGCCCAGTAGCTTACCTTCCAACAGTGGCCAGTGCCAGATGTTTCAGAGGGAGTGAACAGAACAGGGCAATTATCAAGTGATCCATCTCCTGTGGTCCTGTCCTAGCTTCTGGCAGTCAGAGGTTTAGTGACTCCCAAAGCATGGAGTTGCATCCCTGACCATCTTGGCTAATTGCCACTGATGGACCTATCCTCCATGAACTTATCTAATTCTTTTTTAGCCCCGTTATACTTTTGGTTCTCACGACATCCCCATAAATAACAGAGGCCTCATCTTAATTAGAGTCATGAGCTAAAAAATAAGTGAAAAAGAAATAAATAGCAGCACCGTTAACAACAACACTGCTGGTGTTATTCTACTGAATTCTAAATGGTTTAGTCTCCTGTCAATGCACAATGTAATGATTCTATAAAACTTAATCACCACCTGTGGCAACAAAACATAGCTTAGTGTTTCAGATGTTTGTGCTTATGTTGTTTATGCTTCAGGGAGTTTGATGGGGCCAAAGACCTTGTCTTCTTACTAGAGTTCCACTTCCTGGATGGTGGAAAAATGTGTTTTTTCACTTCGGTGACTGGCTATCTTAAGTAAAAAATGCTTATGAAAATTAATCACCAATATCTAAGGTATTTACCTGACCCCATCACTGTGGCATGGGGTGAGCACCTCACAAGCCTTAACGAATTTATCTTCACAACCGCCCTGTGAAGTAGCGAAGTGCTATTATCCCCATTTTACAGATGGGGACCTGAGGCCCAGAGAGGCTAAGCGACTAACCCAAGGCCACACAGGCAGTCTGTGGCAGAACAGGGAAATAAACGTGGTCTCGAGTCCCAGGCTACCACCCTCACCATTGCACAATTGTTCCTTTCTAATATTATGAGATATTTGGTTCCTTATTTTGGGGGCTTTTGCTCCATACCTCTTTTCTTTCCCCCTTTCCACTCTTATCACATGAGCTAAAGAAGAACCACTGTTAAGTACAAAGCTGTATTATTTATAGGGCTTATATCCTGTGTAGATCTCTAGCCTCTACAGCAGTCTGGCAAAATCACCATAAAAACCCACCAGCATGGCCAAAAGATCTGCCCACCCACCTTTACAGTGATGACAGGGTTACGGGATTGGTGTTGACAGTGGTGGTAGTGATATTTTAAATCAGCTGCCATAAAAATACCCATCCAGGGTGAGCAAGCACATAGTAGTTTTGCAAACCTGCACACCAGGGTGACCTGATCATCAGCACTTGAGTAGGTTTGACGCTGAGTAGATGGCATTGTCTAGGGAATGACTCCCATTAACATTGAGAGAGGAAGTTGTACAAGTGCCTCAAGAGGAGAGACACCCTCCATCCCTGGGATAGTAAACTGAGTCCCCAGCAATAGCAGACAATGTAGGAAGACTACAATAAGCGGAGGGATATAGAGGCATTCCTCTTAATGCTTTGGAATCCATTTAAATTGCAGAGTAAGCCAATATCACCAGGAAAAAACTGATCAATGGCAGAATCAGTCCACCACCATGGTTACCTACTATTTTAACTACTAGGTGGCAAATGGTTATGGAGTCCGGAAGGAGCAACATGACCTTCTCCAGCCGATTTCTTCCAGATAGATTGGAAAGGTTTCATTGAGCACAGGCGTTTGAGGTTTGGTTGGGACCATTTGAATGCCTGAGAGAACAGGTAAAGCCTCCGCCTTTGTTCTTTTCTACCCTTATCACTGTTACTCACCCAAGGCTACTCTCCATACAGATGCTTCAGGAGCCAACTCATCAGCCCAGTGAGATACAACAGCTGATTGCATGGGGGAAATTTAGATCCCTAGCCACTAGGCTGGGAGCACAGTGGAGGACATGCTCTCAGCCCCTGGGAGCAGGAAGTTGGTACCTTGCTTTGATACAATGGGGGTTGTGGTGCTGGAGGGATCCAGAAGCCGTGTAGCCTAGCTCTTCTACTCAATAGGAAGATTGCAGTGATGCAGAGACTGTCCTAAACCCAAACCCAAACCCTGCCCCTTAAAACTCCCTGCCTTTGGGAAAGTTTGAAAGCACATTAGAAATTAGCAGTTGGCTCCTACCTCTATAGGGAGCCCATCCAAAACCCCCTAACTTTGGAAAGTTTGGATCCAGATATGCACTTTGTGGTACCGTAGTAATTGTTGAGAATTGAGAAAATGCAAATAGCTCACCACATTTCCCACAGTGACAGCTTTAATATCACCACTGTACTCACCTATCTCATCACTAGACTTGTCTTCCATCGTCTCCACTTTTAGAGTTTCATAAATAGCTGACTCTCTGTCTTCATTAAAATCTTGATTCAAAAGAAGAGAAACAAAAGAGAAGTATCAGGTGGACTCTTGTTAATGAACTAATTATTGATTTGTTTGCGTTTCTGAACCAATGGTTTCAATATATGGTCTAAAATTTAGAACCAATGACAAAGTCAGGACACTTGGGTTCCATGCCCAGTTTGCTGCCGAATCCTCTGTAATCTTGGGCAAATCACAACTGCTCTATGCCTCCCTTCTGCAAAATGGGTAAAATAACATTTACCTACTTGACAAAGATAATGAGCCAGAACATTAATCAAAGGCTTTGAGATCTCTGGATTCACGGTGCTTGAGAACTGGAAGTATATCATTGTGAATAAGTCTCACAAGTGTCATTGTTTGACATGATGCAATGACAATGATGTTTTAGAGCCAGACTGCTAATGAAACAGCAGGACCCCGTTTCCCCCAAGCCTTCAGAGACCTCCCTCAGTGTCAGTGGGGTAAGTTACTCAAAGAAGTGTTTGCACATAACAAAAGGCAGAAAATCCTCACTGGAAGCCCTTTGCCTTTTAAGGACATCCATCCTATTTGAAACAAAGTTCAAAACTCAAATTAAATATGAAAGAACTCACTAGAGGTATGAAAATCAGTGGTTTTCTTGGTCTCCTCTGATATTAAGAGATCAGTGACCCTGTATGTGCAGCTAATGGTCTCCTTGACATAAAGTACAGTGTTGTAATGATTTTCTTCCTTATGGTCTCTAGCAACTTGAGCTCTTTCCATCAAGCTAGGAACATCATGCCTAACAAAACAACAAACAAAATGTAAGAATGGCCATACTCTGTCAGACCAAAGGTCCATCTAGCCCAGTATCCTGTCTTCTGACAGTGGCCAGTGCCAGGTGCCCCAGAGGAAATGAACAAGTAATCATCAAGTGATCCATTCCCTGTCACTCATTTCCAGCTTCTGGCAAACAGAGGCTAGGGACACCATACCTGCCCATCTTGGCTAATAGCCATTGATGGACCTATCCTCCATTAATTTATCAAGTTCTTTTTTGAATCCTGTTATAGTCTTGGCCTTCACAACATCCTTTGGCAAAGAGTTCCACCAGTTGACTGTGCGTCGTGTGAAGAAAACAAGCCTGACATACCAATTTCGAGCATCCATCAGTCACTGTAGCATATGCTTTCCAGCTTTCACATACTAAAGACATTTCCTGTACATTTGGTGATGTGAGTGTGCTAACAAATGCTGTAAAAATTCAACAATTGGGACACAATTTGCTGCTCCAGTCGGGGTCACCAATTCAGTAGCTCTACACAATTTTGAGGGATTATATTTTACATCCTGGAGGGAGGAGGAAGACGTCCCCATCACTACTGAGGTAAAATGGCGGCTGGGTGTGGTGGGAGGGTGAATATTGTCCAACTAGATAGACAAATTTCCACAAAGGTACCAAAATCAGAAACTTCCCTGCTAACTTTCCATAATACCCTAGAAAGCAAAGGTATGTTCAGGCACTAAATCATGAACTAACACAAGTTACCAGCTGTTAAGGATGCTGTGAATGTAGGATGACAAAATTCCCATTTCTTAGGAAGAGGAAGCAAGTGACTTAAATAACTGAGGCAGGGCTGAAGGGGGGAGGGATAGCTCAGTGGTTTGAGCATTGGCCTGCTAAACCCAGGGTTGGGAGTTCAATCCTTGAGGGGGCCACTTAGGGATCTGGGGCAAAATCAGTACTTGGTCCTGCTAGTGAAGGCAGGGGGCTGGACTCAATGACCTTTCAAGGTCCCTTCCAGTTCTAGGAGATAGGATATCTCCATTTCCTAGATCCCCTAGACCTTCTTGTCCAAAGCCTCTAGTTCTTGTCAAGCTGGGAATCGCACTCCCTCTAGGAAGATCACCACAGGCAACTGAACGACATTGAATTTACAGCTCAAGTTTTACCACGTGCAGGCTGACTGTTCTCTGCCAGGCCCGGGCAGCTGCATCGATTTCCATAAGATTTCAATCCAGGCAGTACGTAAATCAGCAGATTCTGCAGACTGATCGAAAAAGAAGTACAATCGTTAGGGACATTTAACTGGAAGAAAAGGATAGACATTTTATTGATGCATGTTAATTTCACAAAGCCTGTCGTAACCATTTCCTCTCCACCTCCCCGAGTCCAGGGCTGTATCTTTTTTTTTACTTGTGATCCTTTTCTTTACATTGAGGCTAGGGATGAAAGCTGAACATTCCAAGAAATTGGATAGCAAAATATGGGCCTGATTCAAAGCCCAGTGAAGTCAATGGAAGGAGTCCCACTACAAAGGTCTTCGGCCATAGTCGAGCAATCTTATATCTGTGTACTGGACCAAGTCATTGGATAATGTTGTAATAGAGCAACATAGCTTGAGACTGGAGAGAGCTGGGGCAGCCCTGGCTCCACAGTGGGTTAGGGAATACACTTTGGCTACCATGTCACTACAAAACTCACTGAACCTCCTAAGTCCCAGGTATTTGATAGCACCGACATTCTATTCTTACCAGGAGTTTCTTCTTTCCGTTTGCCATTGTGATCTCAAAAGGGTAATCGGCTTTCACAGCTTGTGCCTCGCGTACCGACTGCACCTAAAAAGCATTTCTATAAAGAAGCCTCCACAAGTATGTGCAACCTCTAAGATTTACTATTAGCACTTTTTAAAAAGTTTTTAAAAAAACTCTATAATCCTGATAGATGAAAAGACTTAAAACACGTTGGGCCAATTTTTCCAGCAAGTATAAATTGGCATAGCTTCACTGACACCTGAGGACCAGGGCCAGTATGACTTGACCTCTTTGGTTATGCCAAGTTGAACACAAGACCTGCCATACTGGGTCAGCCCAATGGTCCATGTAGCCCAGTATCCTATTTTCCAACAGTGGCAATTGCCAGAACAGGACAATTATTGAGTGAGCCATCCCATTGTCTAATCCCAGATTCTGGCAATCAGAGGCTTCCGGACACCCACAGCATGGTCTTGCATTCCTGACCATCTTGGTTAATAGCCATTGATGGACCTATCTTCCATGAATTTGTCTAATTATTTTTTGAACTCAGTAATACTTTTGTCTTTCACAGCATCCCCTGGCAATGAGTTCCACAGGTGGAGTTTAAATTGTGTGAAGAATAACTTCCTTATGTTTGTTTTAAGTCTGCTGCCTATTAATTTCATTGGGTGCCCCCTAGTTCTTGTGTTATGTGAAGAGGTAAATAACAATTCCTTAGTCACTTTTCCCACACCATTCATGATTTTATAGACCTCTATCACATCTCTCCTTAGTCATTTCTTTTCTAAGATGAACTGTCCCAATCTTTTTAATCTCTCCTCCATACGGTAGAAGTTGTTCCAGCCCTTAACAATTTTTGTTGCCATTCTCTGTACTTTTTCCAAATTCTAATATATCTTTTTTGAGACGGGACAACGAGAACTACATACAGCATTCAAGGTGTGGGTATACCATGGATTTATATAGTGGCATTATGATATTTTCTGTCTTATTATGTATCCCTCTCCTAATGTTTCTTGAAATTGTTAGCTTTTTTGGACCGCTGCTGCGCATTGAGCAGATGTTTTCAGAGAACTATCTACGATGGCTCTAGAACAGCAGTTCTCAAATTTTAGCAACCCGAGGACCACCATTTTGATTTAAAAAATTTTGTGGACCGCCAAGCCGGTTTCTAATTTTCTCCAGGGGTGCTCAGCCCCAGGTCCCATCCCCACTCCACCCCTTCCCCCAAGGCCCCATCCCTACCCCACCTCTTCCGGCCCCTGCTCCATCCCGCCCCCTCTCCGAGTGGTGTGCAGGAGGCACTGGGGGAGACGGGAGGAGTTGATCAGCATGGCCAGCAATCCCAGACATGACTCGTGGACCCCCTGGAGCTGGACATGACTCACGGACTCCTTGGAGTACCTTCACGGACCCCCTGCTCTAGAATCTCTAGAACCCTCTTTAAAAATCAGTATTAGCTATCCTACAGTCATCTGGTATAGAGGCTGATTTAAGTGATAGACTATATGCTGGAGTTAGTAGTTTTGCAATTTCATATTTGAGTTCCTTCAGAACTCTTGAATGAACATCATCTGGCCCTGGTGACTTATTACTGCTTAATTTATCAATTTGTTCCAAAATCTCCTCTAGCGACACTTCAATCTGGGACAGTTGCTCAAATTTGTCTCCTAAAAAGAATGGTTCAGGTGGATTAATTTCCCGCTCATCCTCTGAAGACTGATGCAAAGAATTAATTTAGCTTCCCTGCAATGGTCACGTCTTCCTTGAAGGCTCCTTTAGCCCCTCGATTGTTCAGTAGCCCCACTGATGGTTTGGCAGACTGTCTGCTTCTGAGGAACTTAAAAATATTTTTGTGAGTTTGTGTGTCTTTTTCTAGTTGCTCTTCAAATTCTTTTTTGGCCTGCCTAATTATGCTTTTACACGTAACTTGCCAGAGCTTATGCGCCTTTCTATTTTCCTCAGCAGGATTTGATTTCCGATTTTTACAAGATGTCTTTTTGTCTCTAACCGCCTCTTTCACTTTGTTGTTTAGCCATAGTGTCTATTTTTTTTTTTTTGGTCCTTATATATTTTTTATTTGGAGTATAAATTTAGTATGGTGTTTTTCGAAAAGGTTCCATGCAACTTGCAGGCATTTCATTCTTGTGACTATTCCTTTTAATTTCCGTTTAACTAGCTTCCTCATTTTGGTGGAGTTCCCCCTTTTGAAGTTAAATGATTCTGTGATGGGTTTCTTTGGTATTTCCCCCCCCCCCCACAAGAATATTAAATTTTATTACATTATGGTTGCTATTACCGAGCGGTTGAGCTATATTCACCTTTTGGACCAGACGCACCACTTAGGACTAAATCAAGAATTGCCTCTCTCTTTGTGGGTTCCAGAACTGGTTGCTCCAAGAAGTAGTCATTAATGGTATCTAGGAATTTTATCTCTACATCCTGTCCTGAGGTGACTTGTATCCAGTCAATATGGGAATAGTTGAAATCCCCCATTATTAGTGAGTTGACTTTATACCTCACATGATCATTTTCTTTGCTCCCCGGGAGAACTACGACAGCCCACTAGTTTGTATTTGAAAAGAGAAATGTAAGGAAGTGCTGCCTTCTGGAATCTCAACTTCTGTCCCTGTGTGCATCAGTCTGAAGGCTTTGCAGCACACCGGCCCTCAACTTCGGATAACGAGTCAAGTTGAGTCCATCTTACCCTCCTCATTGTCCAAATTCTTAATAGGCTTCTCAAAAGTGATAGTTGGTCATTTAGGAATCACACAAGATCTGTTTGTATTCCACTCCCATAGGCGTACAAAATAGAAATGATTCATTCTGTGTGGGTCCAATCCTGCCAGCTCTTCTGGTGTGGAATTCGGTAGGTGTCGAGGACTTGCAGGACTGGGCCCTGTCTTTGGTAGGACTGTAAGGAGGACGTCCTGAAGTCTCAGGTGATACCAACTATCCTTCCAGTCTAGGAGGGCTAACTGCAGTTTGCTCTCCAGCTGGCTACTCTCGCATGGTCCGGGAGGGTCAATAAAAAGCAAGGTGAGATGCAGTGTCTGTAGAGAGGCATGTGCCATCTGTAGCACTCTCAGCTCAAGTGTTGAACTCTGATCCTCCACAAGTTACAGATCCTCACTACTGACTTTAAACATGAAATTGGATGCAGAAACTATCACCTTGGTTATAGAGGAAATCCTCAGCGAGTTAGTCACTGGAAGATTCCCCTCAGTGCAAATACAAATACAAGAAGCCCTTCTGAGAGTCTGGCATGTATCTGATCACAGGTTTTACTTACTATGTATATGGAGTAGCGTCCACGAAGGCATAACTGCAAAAGAACACCACACCAGTTATCAATAGGAAAAAATATCCATGCTATCAAAGGTGGAAAAAGTAAATAATTTATACACCTACTGCATCTCCATGTTTCTTCGTAAAGAAGTAGAGGGTGGTATTGTGAAGTCGGAACCAATACTTTGCCCATGTAAATTTCTATTTAAACAACAAAACAAGTGGTAGACAAAACAAGATGTAAATCAGTGGTGTTGATTCTCTCATGTATTGCAGACTCTGCCACCAACTCACTATGTGACTGTGGGCACTCTGCACCTTAGTTTTCCCAGCTGTAAAATGGGTGATATGACGCTTAATGTGTAAAGTGCCTTTAGATTTACAGACGAAAGTCATTGTAGAAGTGCGAAAGTAGTTATTACATATAGATACATGCACACGCACACACATGCCATTCTCTTAGAAGCCAAACGTTTAAGGGAGTTAAGTTCCCAACTCCCATTGACATTTAATAGGAGTTGGGTGCAGAACTCTTACAGTCCCTTTGATAGCCCCAGCCTATGTTCCTTTTCATATAGTTTAAGGTCTTGCCTTATTAAAACTGAATGGAACATGTTGGTAGTAAACTGAGAAGGGCTTTTGTAAAGGCAAGTGAATGAAAATGGAACTATACAAACTTCCCCAAAAATGTATGTGACTTATTTAACAAAGATATAAACCAGTGGCCCTGGTTAAATATGTTGTTTTGGCTAAACCTACAGCGTATGGCACCAGGAGATTAACAGAGACCCTGTACCCAATAAACATATACATTTGATTTATGTGGAGACTGGCTGGTCGCACTGGTGGAGATGAGCCTATGGAGACTCTCTCATCTATAGGTTGCTGCTCTGAATCCTTTTCCATCCAATTCCTCTCTCAAAAAAAGCCCGGTGTGAGCATTTGTAGAAGGTGCATCTTAGATTATTAGTGACCTTTGAAAAATAATTTTAAGAACATTCTTTTTCATCTCTTTCCTACACATTAGCAGACTCCCCCAATGGCAGATTTTTTTTTTGCATATTCCCTTAAAATAGACATCAAAATTAATCAGCTGTCACATACATGGGAACAAAGTCTGGCTATGTACAGAACTGCTAGCCTCAATTAGCATGGTGTGGAGTTATATGGCCATCTACAAATGACTAGCCAGATTTTCTGGAGTGCTTAGAACCAAGTAGCTCCCACTGAGAATCATGGGAGCTCATGGGTGAAGAGCACTTTCTAAGACCACTTTATTTAGGTGTCTGAATGGGAACTCTTGGGCACTGAGGTCATTCAGCAATTAGACATCTAGAACCTTTTGGGCCATCACTACTCCCCTTTCATCATCTTCCCATGGAATTCCAGTTAAAAAAACAACTTTACACTTGTATATGCTCTATTAGAAGATGTCAAAGCACTTTACAAGGATGAAGTCTCAGTATCTCAGAGATGAACTAAGGCACAGAGATTCAGAGTTGCTCATGGACATTCAAAAAGTCAGTGGCCAGCCAGGAATAGAACCCAGGGTCCAGGATTCTATCCACTGGGCCCTATTTCCACTCCCTACCGAGCAAGAAGAATTAGACTGGACACTCCTAACAGCACATTAATGCTACTCCCATAACTTAAAATGGGTCAAGGATGAATTATACAAAGCACCATCTCCCACTATCTCTGTGCAGAATTGAATATGGACATCTGGGAATGCATTTACACACTACAGATTGAAACCTATTCCATTTAGCGGCTATTAGAGAACCTTTACCAGATCTCTTCTGACTTCTTTGGAAGGAGTAGAAGAGTCAAAACAAGAGACAGCAATGCTACCCTAGAAACCAGAATAAAAACAGCAGGCACTGAATACAAATTAGATGTTGATACAGGATACAGACCCTGATTTAGTACATGCTTAAATCCATCCCTATTCAGCAAAGCACTTAAGCATGTATTTAACTTTCATATATACTAAGTTCACACCACCA